ATTGTACAGGAGAACAATGTACATGTAAGTAGATGTACACTACCATCACAATTTTCAGTTATAGTTGTTAATTTATTTTCAGGCAAGACAAAAGATCAGTGAACTATGCTGCTCAATGCTTTTACAATAGAAAGTACAAGAACTTTTGGACTCTGAATATTGTTTTTACAAAGTTTCTGTGTGCCAACTTTGAGGTACTTTATAATTGAGATTTAAAATGCTCTTATGTATAATTTTTTATTTCAACATGCTCAAAACAGATCTGATTTTCAAGTTCAAGGCTCTTACTATCGATTTGTTTTTAATTCTGACTCACTCTCTCTGGACCTAACCTGCTTTAAAGATTCACATGAGTTCTCAGGATGGATGATATCACCAAATGATGAAGAAATTCCAGATACTGTTAGTTACAATGTAAACTTGTGATGAAACTATTGTTTATTGCTTTTAGATATCACTGGAAAAAATTGACACTGCTGAATTAAATGAAGGGAGTGCTAAGGTTCTAAAAAAAGCATTTCCCTCAATCAGTTTGAATGTTTACATTTTTGATGAAACAGCTGCTGCTGATGAAATAAATGAATCATTTAAAATTGGAGGAACAAACTTAAGCATTAATATTAAGCAACACAAAGAACAGCCTTGATTTAAAAAACATTATAATTACATATACATGTACACATACATGTACATGTAACTGTATGAATTGTGTGATACAACTGGTAGCTGATTACATGTAGTTATTAATTGTTATTTTAATTATTGATAAACTATTTTAGCAATAGAGCTTACATGTACAAATATAGGAAGGAATACGTGCTAAGATATCAATTACTACTATATTTACAACAGTGGTATTTAAAGTGGCTTTTTCTATATAACTTTTACACTACATGCACCCTACATGTGTAGGTTTGTGAGTACCTACACATTATGTGCATTTGGGCAATATCAGTTCCTGTAATACATACAGTACATGTGTATACCTTTATCTTTCATTGTGTTAGTAGTCTCTCCATTTCCTTTATCTGAACTATCCTGCAGAGACTAAAGAATAAGCTTCATTCACTTAAAATACTTAATGTATACAGTATTTACACGTACACTTATATTAAATTGTACACATACATGTGTACATACACTAGTGCTATGGGTATCAATAAACTTACTGCCTTCTCAGAGTCTGGTTGTTCTTGTTCCCTTGCTAGTTGTAATGGGGTCAGTCCTAGTGTTGATACTTGTGGGTCCATCCCACAATACAATAACTTTAGTATTAGCCATGTACGAGCAGCATCATCTTTACCATGATCTAAACATACCTACAATATGTACAAAATGTAAAAAAGGGTCTGTTTAGCTGGATTGTATAGCATATGATACATGTACACATATGGTATACATATACGTAGACTACGTACTCATACATGTACATGTATGATAGAATGTATCACCATCAATACACAGACAGTAGTGAATACTAGTACAGAAGAGTATTCAACTTTATAATTACATGTACATGTTACTGGACAACAACTTTTGCCGTTATCACAAGTTTTCTATAGTTGCAAAATATTCATTAATAGACACGTAGATGTAAAAGCTAAATTACAAAAAGTATTATTAGCGCAACAATAATTGGCAAAAAGCACTTGGCTATGGCAATAAGATTAAGTTACAGAAACACAGTTTTTGTTTTAATATACTATTACTAATAGGATATATTGTACATGTACATGCATGTGTCACTAATCTACACAGTACCTGGTAGTTATGGTCACATAGTTTATCAACTGGTAGTCCTTCAATGAGGAATGACTTGGAACACTTTTTGAAATCACTCAACCACTTCTATAATAGAAAGAAACCCAATAAATAATGATTCACAGAAAGAGAATGAAAAAGAAAAAAAGGGAGAAAAGGCTCAAAGTAGAGGATGTTCTTTACTTCTTCAGTCTTAGCATATTTGTGAAGATATGACGTGTGACAAAGGAATGTCTGCTGGTAAGGATCAGTCTCATGTTTACGAAACTGAATTGGATTACGTGATGGAACACTAAAAATATCACAAACAATAATTTATTATAGTCTTCATTTTTTGTGCATTATTCAACCAATACTTAATATACATTACATTTTCTTACTTTGATGAGTGTGATTTTGTTCTTTGTGTGTTCGAGTCACTGGTTGATGAGGCAAAGGTGCCATCAGGTCTCAATGATATACTAACTGGAGTCTATCAGTGATTAATACAATGAAAAATAAAATAAGTAAAATAAATAAAGTATTGATCAAGAATAAATAGTATCACAGTTCTCATCTACATTTGAACATGTACCAATGTCATATATATGCCACGTGTACATGTACTATCACATGCAGCCTAGTGTATAAAATACACATGTATAGCATTCGTGCAGTTGCAACACATGAAGAGTCTATGTGTCTTGCTGTGTATACATGTATGTACATGTACATGTATAATTATATGTACACAATAATAATTATTATTAGTAGTGGCTCACAGCTCTGTCAGTGATGTGACTAGCATCAGACATATTCTGTATAACTAGCTTTGAATCTTTCACACATGATATTAATATATCCTCAGACAACCAAAGGAAATCTAATTAAAAAACATTAAACAATTAATAGCAAGCACACGCCCACACACAAGAAATTAACTACATGTACAAGCATCTAGATGTACATGTAACATGCATATACATGCTACATGTATTTCATGCCATGATAATGAAACTTTAATGTGGCTTTTGATCCATGTAGTACATGTAGAATTTACATGTATAGCTCATGTATCATGTATAAACCTTACCAGTGACTACATCAGTGTGCTCAGTAAAAGTAGCAAACTGAATGAATGGTCTCCTAACGTCCCAAACAGCCACTGTACTGTCCAACAAATGAGAACAACTACAAACAATACAAATAATAATGAAATTTACTGTGATAGACTATCGCCCTTCAAATACATGTACACTTTCAGGTTTTCTCAT